ACTATGCAACATCACAGACTACTACAGCCAATATTTAACCATAATTCTAATTTTCTCCAGGCCCCCATAAGATTGCTAATTCACCCAGTCAGCAAGAAATGTATAAAAAATAAGGCCAAATTCCAAAAACATTGTTTATAAATGATTGTTTTCATTTAAATTTGGTTGATTATAAATGATTAATGATCATAGACAATATCTTTCTAAAGAAAAAAGCGGGATATGATACCTAAATGATGAAAAAAGTAGATTATTAAATCTTCTTCAATCCAAAAGGCAACTGATAATCTCAAAATACTTTACATTGGCATGGATTTTGGTTTGCTGATACAAATTTAAGGTCAATTTTGTTATACTATATGTATATTTCTACTCTTGTTTAAGGTATTATGTTTATACACCTCATTTAAAAATGGAATGTATAAATTAATAGCCATTTATAATAGACAAACTTATAGACATGTTAGGTTTTCTAGATATACAAAGAAATATTTCAGATGAATAGGTAATTTTGAAATACTTCAAATACTTACAGAATATGGCATTTAAAATGTTTTAATAACTTGGACTTCTTTGAATGTGAGATGTCTGCTCTTGTCAACCACAATTACTTCAAGAAAATAATGGGCATCAAAGAATCTCCTTATGGAGTTTGCCTTCAATGTGGCAAGACTAGCCTTTTGGGCCAGAAACTGCGCTGGCCTGGACTTCCTGGCAATATACTGTATAACCTGGATACTCAGGATTCACAGTAAAACAACTGCTTAACAAGATATCTTTTAGATATTCTAGATTGATACCCAAAGTTAACTACCCCAATGCAGAGGAGATATTTTGGGTGACTGTCCAGGCAGCCAGTTGCTTCTGTCATTTATTGTATCTTTTGGAAGTAACTTGCTTTCAATTTCTGCTTACTTGGATAATATTATCTTTTTTCTCAGGTTTTTTTTATGGGGTTGAAGATTAGATAGTTACAGTTACAATTCTCTCATGTCTTCGTTAGGGCATATTAGGTACAAGACTTAGACTCTCCATGATAGGACAGCTTTTGGGTTAACCTCTGCAATTTGCCAATTACCTACGGCCTGAACATTTAGAATGTGTTCCTTGTTTCTTGTTGTTCTTATTGGCTTATGTTCATCTTGCACAGTACCTGATAATTGTTCTTAATGTAGATAATTTTATGTTAGGATTAGAAACTTTTTTATTTAGAAGAAAAAGAGAAGTGTTATGGGATTTTGATCTGTTTAGTCATTGAATTTTGGGTTAAGTCCTATGATATGGTCTTGACTGCATACATGACTGATGAATATGGGGGGATCTGGTGCTCTCTTTCTCCCTCCCCTCCTCTTTCTCTCTCTTGAGGTCAGAGCAAGATATAGGAGCAGTTGTTCCCATCTCTCCTGTGCACAATGGACACAGCAGCTGGATGTGGCATCTAATCTGTTCTGGATCAGTGAGTGTTTATCCCCATTTTATATATTAATAAATTATTGAGACCCTTTAACAGTCTCTTGTGGGTTCACATAACAATATTAAGCTACCGAATAAAAAACTTTGCTCATGGAATAGCAACATTGGAGCTGTTCTTTAGACAAGAATGGAATTGTCCTTCCAAAACCTCTTTGAGCTGCTCATTTATACTGATTTAATTTGGGGTGAGTGTGGAGAAGGATGATGACTTAAAATGGAAGGGATAATTTTACACAACTTTTACTGATTCTTCCAACTTGAAGTGTCTTCTTGTTTATTTAAGTAGGTTCTATCTAAATGTTTTGGAACCCAGTCTCTGGATGTTCACTGCCAGCACATGCTGTCTCCATGTGTGTGCTATTTTCCAGAGAGTCTGTAATGTGTCCTTGGATTTGAACCAAGCAAGATCTTTGGAAGGCCAAGGAATGCTACTTTCCTGCTCCTACTTTTTCAACATCTATTTACTTTTATTCTTTCTAGCTAACATAGTGAATATTCATGGCTGTTGTGACTGGTATGTGTGATATCACATGATTATACTAGCTAAGTAAGTCATAAAAAGTAGTCCATTTGTCTCATTAAAAAACTAATTCAAATCCAACAACACTGCTAAGATATTAGCCATTTATGGAATGTGAGAAATCATTTAATTATTTTATCATATTATGTATCTTAATGTTCTTTTCAAATTCAGATGCTACATTTAAGCCTACAGTAAATTCCATGTCCAAGTTTATAGCTCTCAAAATAGAATTTTAATGGAAATGCTAAGATATTCCCAATTATAGCTGTGGAAAAGTTGCAAGTTTTTTTTTTTTTAAATCGTTTTCATCGCGGTTTTTAAACATATGGCAGGTCTTTTTTGGAAGTCTTCTGATGGTATGCAGAATTTGTAGTTACAAATATTCTGCCATTTAAATAAGCTCACTCAACTTCACCTTTCTGAATTAGCAGAATTTAACTGTTCATTGTCAACTGATTCATGAATATAGAACCCAGCTTCATTTGGAGCATATGGCCTAAAGATAATAAATTTAAATGCCTGATGTAAAGTAAATTAGAATTGGGATTGTAATGCTGATAGCTTTTTCTACAAGACTCTTATAACATCTGTCCAGAAACTTTAAATTTTTTTCAGATGTTTTTCCACACATGCTGCCTCAAATCTCTATAGATATTGTAACTTTATCTCAAGAAAATAATTAGGAAAGTTAGTTATCAACTAAGAAGAAAGAGATAAAGTAAAACTGCAGAATATTCTAAGTTAGCAATGGATAAAAGAGAATATTAGAAATAAAAAGCAAATAAAAGGTTCAGGCTTGAGCAGGTTCTATTTTTCTAAATCGATTCATTTACTGAAATCATGCCCTATGCGACTTATTACATCCCTTCTTGTACAAACTTTCCCATAAATGACAGAACCTAGATGTTAGAAAATGAAATTTTGCTAGTATGGCTAGATGCTTAATTCCCAATATTCCTGTGCTAAACTTCATCCCTTCCCCAGAAAATATTAGTGTCACTGCTATTATGGTGTAATACTGCCTTGAACTGAACCCAATAACTCCATTACAACTTCATTTTTAAATTTTTTTTTAAAAATTTATGTATGTGTCTTGCACATCATATGTCTTAATTCCATTCATTCCCTGTCCCTTCACATCCACCCTCTTCCCCTGCACCCCAAATAAAACAAAATTCAAGAGAAAAAAAGATAGAAAATAAAATAAAAAAAATAAAAGAGGAAAAGAAATTTAAAATCTTGGTTAGCTGTAGTGCTAACCAAGCCATGCCATATAGAACTTTACCCATGTATCTCTACTTGTAAGTGTACATTATAGAGTCATTGGTCTGGTTGAAGCCCCCCTGGTCTCCACTATACATTTGAGGCTGGGCCCCCACTAGAATACTTCCTGGACAATTGTTGTGAGATCCTACAGCTTTGGGTCTGAGGGTCAGTTCTCTTCATGTGCTCTATCAGCAGAAGATAGATGGGGTAGATGTTGCTGCAGGACAAGTAAGAACCCTGGGCATCTGTAGTGTTGGTCTGCCAGATGGGAAATGAGGACAGCTCTCCCAGGAGCACAATTTTGGGGCTGGCAAACCTACATCTTACCTACCAGTGTTGGTCCTATTGTATTGCCTGGGCAAGGTAGAAGGCCTGTTCTCCTGAATGTTGCAGCTGTTGGGGGACAGGAATGGCACTCCTGCTTTTCTGGCTACAGGGGCAGCTCTTCCACCTGCCTTCAGTATTGATGGATGTGAGAGGGGGTAGGCGAACCATTCTCACACATCCATATCACCATAATACAGATGGGAAAGCTCTCCCATAGTCACAGTGCAGGGCTGGCTCTCCCACACCTGTACTAACAGTATGGTATCAATTGTGCTGCTCTGGCAAGGTGCAGGGCCTGTTCTCCTGAGTGTTAGAGCTGGTGGGGGTCAAGGATGGCACTCTCTTTTTTTTGATATTTTTAAACAATTGTTTATTATACAAATCCAACAAAGGTAAAACTGCATCAGGGAAAGTCTAGGAAACACCACCATACAACAATGGCACTTACGGATGCAGAATTGACAACTAGAAAATAACCTGGTTACCAACTTCAGTGAGAACTGATCATTTCAAAGGAAAGGAAGGCTATGGACACATTTATTCTACTTGATCCTGGTATAAATGAGATCTATGGAGATAGAATACAAGAGCTCATGCTTGGAGCAAATCCCTCCTGAGTGTAAAGGCTGAAATCTGAATTGTAAAATTTTTAGGAAAAGGTAAACTATTGAAACTTGGCAAAGTGTTTTACCTGGACTATACACTTATCCACAATATGCTTGTGTAACTTCTTGACATAGAAAATAGGCTCTCAACATCCAGTTAAACATGCTTTTAAGTGGAAGGTCATAGCCCCGTCACACCTGGGCACATCTGTGGATGGGCTCTTTATGTTGATGAAGTACAGGTTAAGTTCTCCCTACCTGGAGGAAAGTTGGCAATCTAAACAATAAAAACACTGGTATGCATTCAAATCTTACATAAATAATTTTAAACAATTTATACAAAAATAGTTCTGCATAATGTAAGATGTAACAAAACCAACTAAAAAAAAACATGTCAAGATGTCTGTGGATGGTGTGTGTGGTCCACTTTACGTTGACACCAGAAGCCTTGGCATTTCAAGGAATAGGGTGCCCCAAACAAAGCTATCAACAAAAGCACTAAGCTCAGGCTTCTAAGAGAATTTCTCCAAAGCTCATCTTCCTTTCCAACTGCAATGTCTTCTAAAGGCCGCTTTAGAAATGGTCCAGAAAGCAGTGCAGTCACGGTGCAGAAAGAGCAGAGGCAAACATCTGGCTCACTCATCCCCCAAATGGGTAGTTGAATGGCTTCTCCCTTGGCAAGAACTGTGTCCTGTGGTCTTTTGTTCCGAATTCCAAAGGGAATATAAGCCCACTTGTGTTTGTAGTCTTTTCCCCTCCCCGGCTGTATTTCCCCAACCCTCCATATTTACATGCTTGTCTTGGAACTAACTTAGTTTTTGAAGAAGTTTCTCTTCAACTTGCCCAAAATGAACACTCACAGACATTTCAGCTATGAACTGCTCACAGCCTTCCTTGGTGACTTGCTTGAAGTACCTCAAGTCAATGATGGAGGAAGGTCATTGGTTAAATAAAAAGAAACTGCTTGGCTCTCATTGGTTAGAGATAGGTGGGAGGAGTAAACAGAACAGAACGCTGGGAGGAAGAGGAAGTGAGTTCAGACTCCACAGCTCTTCTCTCGGGAGCAGATGCCTCAGAGAGAGATGCCATGCCCCACCCCCACCCCGGGGCAGACAGACGCGATTCAGCTCCAACCCAGGATGGACCTAGAATCTTCCCGGTAAAACCGGTGCTCACAGATTATTAGAGATGGGTTGATCGGGACATCAGAATTAGCCAGTAAGGGCTAGAGCCAAAGGGCCAAGCAGTGTTTAAATGAATACAGTTTGTGTGTTGTTATTTCGGGGCATAAGCTAGCCAGGCTGGGGATGCAGCCCTGCCGCCCCTTATTACCACAAGTCAATATGACAAATATTTCCACAGCGTTTGAAGAAGACCAGGCACTGGTCAGTGACCTTATTGCAGTCTAATAGGTTTATCTCTGTCAGAGAGTCTTGGGTGGTAGTGCCAACTGCAGTGAGCAGATTGATGGAATGGTCAGTGACGTGGTTACAGTAACTGAGATGGAGCTTGGATAGCAGGGGCATATGGCGGATAATGAGCCGCAGGGAGGCATCTGTGATGTCCAGGCCAGCAAGGAGCAGTTCTACAATGTTCCGGAGCTTGCTCCGATTGTCCATCTGACCTGGCCTGTTGTCTGTGGGTGGGGACAGGAGATCCCGCATCTGGGCATCCTTTAGTCCTTCTACCCACTGGACATCCAGGGTCTGGGGCAATGGACAACTGGAGCTACAGAGGGCTGAGACAGCAATCCATGAGCAGCCGGACAGCGCCAAGTCCCGGAGCCCAGGCAACAGGTTGATGAGCCAACTCAGTTGCTTCTTGGAGATATTGGTCCAGCTGAGGTCAAGGGAGACAGGCTGTCGCCGGATGATGCCACTCAGCATCAGGGGCGTGATGGACTTGCAGTGGTTCAGGTCAATGCGGATCCACTACCGCTTATCGCAGCACCAGCGGTTCCAGGTTCTGCAGACCTGCATGCAGAAACACAGGTCTTGGTGGCTGAGGTAGCTGAAGACTGCCATCCACACCTCCCTGTGCATGACATGGGCTGCTCCATCGTCAAGGGGCAGCGAGTCAGGTGGAGGGCTGATGGGTGGCGGCCGGATCACATGACGCTCCATCTGGATGCACTTAGGTGGGGGCCGGGACGTACCACAAGGTGGGCTGCGCAGGCCAGGTCTCAGAGGGTGTGGTAGCTCCCGAGGGGTGCCGTTGAGCCCCTTGCTGAAGTAGTGGGGGCGCTCGCAGTGGCTTAGGGGCCTCTTTGGCTCCTCGTTCTCACTTTCGGGCTCTGACTTGATGGGCTGGTGGGTCTCGTGGGCCAAGGTACTCTCTGTCTTTTGGATCTTGTGGTTGAGCTCCTTGCTTAGCTCTTTGCTCAGCTCCTTGTTGGGAAGCCTCTGTTTCCGGCGCATCTTCGCCTTTTTCTTCTCTTCTGGGCCTTCAGCCCCTTCAGTGCTGGGCCCAGCGGTGGGTGAGCTGGAACGTGACTGGTCACTCGCCTGGGCCTTAGGAGATGCCTCAGGCAGATCGTCCTCTGTTTCCTGCTTGAAGCGCCTAAGGGGTTGGTTGGCCAGTGTCAACCGATCCTCAGTGTTCTTCCAGGACCACTGCTTTTTCCTGAAAAGCTTATCTTCTTTGCCAGGTTTTAGCTGCTGCTGGAAGTAAGTGAGACTGGATCTCCACCAAGGGCTGAGACTGGCGAGAGGTGAGAGGAAGAACAGGGGGACATTTGAAACGTCCAGGCTCGCTTGCGTCCACTGAGCTCTTGGGGCTTCTCATATTTCTGTTTCTTCCTTAGGTGCACATCATCAGACTTTCGGCGTAGGATGCTATCTGCAGGCACCTTTTTAGGGTGTTCATCTGACCTGCGACGGGGAGCCTCTTCAGACTCACTCTTCCGCTTGGCAGGCTCCTGCCCTTCCTTGTTGTCCTGATTCATCTTCTGCCTCTTGAGCAAGGAGCCAGGCAGGTTGGAGGCATACTTAAAGCCAGGGCCACGCTTTTGTTTCCCGGTCTTGCCAGCATGGTTACAATTCGAATGCTCCCAGCAATTGGGAAGCTCATCGTTGACCACACCCTCTGATTCCTTAATCTTAAGGCATCCAGGGTGGATGATCTCGTTGCAGATGGAGCTCTCCATAAGCATGAGGTTAAACTTGCCTTCTTCCTCTTCCACTGTTTCCTCCTTCCCTGCCTCGCCACACACAAGGCACATGGCGGTGTGGGGCAGCACTGGCGTGATGCACTGCAGCATGATGCAGCTCTGCTTCATGCGCCCAGGGCCTCCGAATTTCTTCATGTCCTTGCAAAAGTGACACTCTCCGCACTCAGTCCCTAGGCAGGCCTCGCACTTGAGGCATCGCGTCCAGCGCCTGCGAGCTCCTGCTGTTGTTCGGTTGGCAGCCAACTTCACCGCTGAGGCTGGGACCAACTTGCCCTTAGGCCGACCCACCACCCGGTTCTGGTCGGGCTCCGATTCATAGTCGTCTTCCTCGGCGATCACCGACATGGCCGTGGCTCATGGTGGGCCCAGACTCGAGCGCACTGACATGGCTGGAGCGCCGCCGCCGCCCGCAGGGAGCCGGCTAGGCTCTTCCTGGCTAGCGCTGGGGCTCCGGAGCGGTGAGGAAGCCACAGCCGCTGCGCGCCTCGCACGCCCGCTCGGAAGCAGCACTCTCTCTTTTATGATCACAAGACCTGCTCTCCCATGTGCCCCAGGCAACAATCAGTTCTTCAACAATGTTAACATTGTGAAAACAGGGGCACCTCTTTCATGTGCACAATTTAGGAACAGAACTTTTCCATGCAACCCTCAATCTTCTGTAACTCTGTAGCCCAGTCTTGACTCAGATTCAGAGATTCATCTATCTCTTCCTCCAGAGTACTGGGATTAAAGGCAGGTACTACCATTGCTAGACTTTTTTTTTTTTTTTTTTTTTTTTAGTTTCTTGTATATTCTTGACACTAATCCTCTCTCAGCTATAAATCTGGCAAATATATTTTTCCATTCCAGAGGTGTCTCTTCAAGTGATTAGAGGTTTCCTTTGTATTACAGAAGCATTTTAAGCATTTTAATTTCTTAAAATCTCACATGTTGACTGTTGGTCTTATTTTGGGGACACTAGAGTCCTATTTGTAAATTCCTTACCCAGACCTATGTCCTGAAGTATTCTTCCTGCTCTTGTAACAGTTTCAGTTGGATCTTTGGTCCTTCGGGAATTGATTTGTATACAGGGACAGAAAGACGATATGAACCAGAGGTAAAAAGGGACCAGAAAGCAACAATGCCTTCTGGACATGACAGAACCACTGCATTCCTAACTCACAGAAGTTATAGTTGCCAGCATGATGCCTGCACAGAATCAAACAAGTCAGCATGTCAGCGTGGATGGGAAAGGAGATCAAAAGTTGCCATCCCCGAATGATGAGCTATGGCACTGTCTAGCTTCCAGAAAGTGAGAGATAGTTTTCTTTCTCTCTCTCTCTCTTTTTTTTTTTCTTTTAAGGGTATAGATCTCAGTTGTTTGGACTTCTTCCATTGGATGGCTCTATATCTAGGAATATTTATGATCAGGACAAATTGGCATCACTAGGCTTTAAGTTAAAAGAAGACATGGTGCTGGAGAGGTAAAGGGGAAGGAGTAGATGAGAGAAGGAGTATAGTTGGTTAATATGATCAAAATAAACTATGTGAAATTTCCAGAGATTATTAAAACATTAAGATATTGTTAAACAGAAGAGAAAGAATAAACAATAGTGTAACGGCATAAACGAATGCAGACAGATTGTAAAAAAATATATATAGCTTTAATGGAGAAATAGACTTACAGAACCACCGTTCCCGCGGAGACCAGGAAAGCAGAAGTAAGCGCTGTGAGCACCCTTGCCAAATTTAGAGGCAAACATTAGCCCAAGGCAAACATACCCCCTAAGGGGCGGGACTTATCCCTACACAATAGTTGAACTATGTAGGTTAACATAGACATAAATGATGATATTTAAAGAACATGAAATATGTATCTTCATTCTGACAATTTTCTATGAAATAAAAAATTTTAAAGTAAGTTTTCCTTCATATGTAGGTTAATATATAGATAAAGAGCATTACTTGACTGGTTTATTAGTGGTCAAAAACAGTTTTAAATGGGAAAATAATGATTATCTGACACTATGTTTGACATGTAGATACTGTTAGCCGTAGAAGTATTGTTCTAGTTTTCAATAAAATTCCAACTAGTTGCAATACCAGGTAGAGTTTAGAACTGCTGTCTCTCTACTCAACAGGCATGCTTCTTTATCTTAAGGTGTATTCTTATGATGGCTTCATTCACAAGAATACTTTAGTGGCTTGATTGTTTCTTACTTAAGGTTCATTTATTTATTTTTTTTATTTTTATTTTTTTTTGTTAAAAAAATTTCTGCCTCCTCCTCGCCTCCCATTTCCCTCCCCCTCCTCCCACTCTTCTCCCCCTCCCCCCCACTCCTCTCCCCCTCTCCCCACTCCTCTCCCTCTCCCCCCACTCCATTTTCCCTCCCTCTCAAGTCTGAAGAGCAGTCCGGATTCCCTGCCCTATGGGAAGTCCAAGGTCCTTCCCCCTCCATCCAGGTCCAGGAAGGTGAACATCCAAACAGCTAGGCTCCCACAAAGTCAGAAGGTTCATTTATTTTTATTTTATGTGTGTGTGTGTTGAATTTGCATGTATGCAGGGTCACCTTTTGTCCTTAGAGGTCACCAATGAGTGACAGATCCTCAAGAATTGGAATTAAGGATGATTGTGAGTTGCTTTGTATATATTTGGAACATACAACTGCAACTGCTAAAAGTGTTTATATCAACTAAGCCACCCCTTTATCCCTTTGATACAAATTTAAGTTTAGCATGTTAATTGCTGTTTTATTTGGTAGATGCTAAACTAAATTATATATTATTTTCCATTTACTTAAGAGTTCATTTATTTTGTTATATCTCTGCTGTTAATCTTTTGATCTTAATAGTGATACATTTTTCTGTGCTTTCCCTTTCTCTCCCTCATCTTCTACCCTTTCTTGTGACCCTCATGCTTCCAATTTACTCAGGAGATCTTGTCTTTTTCTCCTTCCTGGATCCATGTATGTCTCTCTTAGGGTCTTCTTTGTTGTCTAGGTTCCCTGGGTTGTGAATTGTAGACTGAAATTTCTTTGCTTTATGTATAAAAGCCACTTATGAATGAGTACATATTATATTTGTCTTTCTGGGTCTGGGTTACCTCACTCACTATGATCTTTTCTAGATCCATCTATTTGCCTTCAATCTCAAGATGTTATTGGTTTTTACTGCTATGCAGTAATCCATTGTGTAAATGTACCATATTTTCTGGATCCATTCTTCAATTGAGGGGCATCTAGGTTTTTTCCAGGTTCTGGTTATTACAAATAATGCTGCTATGAACATAATTACACATATACCCTTGTGGTATGAATGAGTTACCTTTGGGTAAATACACAAAAGTGGTATTGCTGGGTGTTGAGGTAGATTGTTCCCTAACTTTTGGAAAAATTACCATACTGACTTCCAAAGCATTGGTACAAGTTTGCACTCCCAATAACAATGGAGAAGTTTTCCCTTTACCCCACATCCTCTGTAGTATAAGCCGTCATCAGTGTTTTTGATCTTGGCTACTCTTATAGTTGTAAAATGGAATCTCAGTGTTGTTTTTATTTGCATTTCTTTGATGGCTAAAGATGTTGAGCATTTCCTTAGGTGTTTTTCATTCATTTGAGATTTGTCTGTTGAGAGTTTTCAGTTTAGGTCTGTACCCCCCTTTTATTGTATTATTTGTTCCTTTGATGTCAAGTTTCTTGAGTTCTTTATATATTTTGGAGATCAGTTCTCTGTCTGATATGGATCTATTTACATTCTACTTTTTTATATTTTTTATCTTCTTTGTCAAAATCAGGAGTTTATAGGTATGTGGTGGATTGATATCCAGCTCTTTGATTTGATTCCATTGGTCGTTTTGTCTGTTTTTATACCAATACCAGACTGTTTTCATTACTATAGCTCTATCGTTGAGTTTAAAGTCAGGGATTGTGGCTCCTCCGAAAGTTCCTTTATTGTACAGGATTGCTTTGGCTATTCTGTTTTTTTTTTTTTTTTTCTATATGAAGTTGAGTATTGTTCTTTCAAGGTATGTGAAGAATTTGGTTGGGATTTTGATGAACATTGCATTAAATCTGTAGATTGCTTTTGGTGAGATTGTCATTTTTACTATGTTTATTCTACCTACCCAAGAACATAAAAGATTTTTCCATTTTCTGCTGTCTTCTTTAATTTCTTTCTTCAAAAACTTAAAGATTTGCCATACAGGCCTTTCATTTATGTGGTTAGAGTTACCCCAAGATATTTTATGTTATTTGTGGCTATTGTGAAGGGTTATGTTACTCTGCTTTATTTTCCAGCCCATTTAACTAAAACAAAAATTGATGAAATCTAGCAGGAATGTAGATGGCAGGTAATTTTAATTTTAAATTTTAACACAGACGTAGTAATACCAAATCACCTCAATGTTTTTCTTTTTCCTATTATAGAGTATAAATCAAAAGATTTGTAAATCGTATCAATAATTGTGTTTTTGTTGGTAGTTATTAAAAGAAATGGCAAGAAAAAAACCTTTGCAACTGAGAAGTCATTTAAGAGTTGGACTACTATGTAGACAGTATATGTAATTATTATCAAGCATTTCTTGTACTTTTCAGTCATATTTATGTAATTATTTCAGCTCATACACTGTCTCTCTCTAATATGGCAAGTATTTTACTAAGAGCCTGAGATAAAAGTGAATAACTGACAATTCTCCACCTTCCAGTCTTTAATTCTAAATGAAATGTTTTCACTTTATGCTAATTATTGCAAAAACAGTTTTCTTCAGTAACAGCAATTTTTGTGAACTTTGCAACTAAGTGACACTAATCTCTGTTTCTGTACCTTCTTTTCAGGATGTTTCCAATTCTGTTGATGAAGTAAATCATATGTGATTATTTTCAGAACCATCTTAGTAAATACTGTTTTCCTTTTTTTTTATTTCTGACATTAATTTATTGAATAAACTTTTATTCAGCTTTTAAAATAAATGGGTATTTATAATGCCTGGACAACTATAGTCATTTTCCAATGAGTATTAACAGATTCTTTTTAAATTAATTTTAAATATAATTTCATCAATGTCAATTTCTCTTCCTTCTCCTATTAATGATGCCCATGTGCCAGCAGGATAAAGTTCAGAGCAATTAATTTATAGTAATATCTTGACATTTTCTTTTTCCTTTGCTCATTCTAACTTTATTATGCTCTACATATGACAAGTTTTTCTGAGAAAAGTCTATTTAAGTAACCACAAGTTTGCCTTTCCATACTGCTAAATTGAAAATTTCTTTCTAACACAAGCTACTTTCCCAGTCTTCTATCACTTAGAAACTCTTCTTCTTGTATGAAGAACACTCTGATCATTCATCTTTCAACATCTCTTAACA